GAGAGAGAGAGAGAGAGAGAGAGAGAGAGAGAGAGAGAGAGAGAGAGCGAGCCTATAACACGATTCAGGCTGTCTTTGACAGAGAAAAATAATTGCCATCTCAAAGTGAAATGCAAATGAAGAGACCAACTCCAAAATTATTCAACAACCGATTTATTCGCTTCAGATACGGCACCGGGGAGAGCGAGCGAGAGAGATGAAGATAGAATAATGTACGTATTTGAAATGAATTGAAAAATAGCGAACGTGCAAAAACATACGTCACCAATGTACAAAATGAAAAGGAAAAAAGCCGCTTTATAGAAAGTAGCAACAGGTGTTTATCGATCAACAATACGAAAAAAAAAATAATTGAATCACACACAACAAGTGTTTTGCGCGCGTATTTTTCTATTCGCTATTGATTGAATGATGGTGTGTATTTTTTTTTTCTATCATTTTTCTCCATTTATCTCGTTGATTACACCGTAAAATCGTTGTAGAACGTTCGAAGATTATGTTTGGGTTTGTTACGTGTGCAATAAATTGTCAATTGGATTGAAGAGTGGAATTGGAAAGAGGGATACTTACTGGAGTGCAGTGATGCACAGTAGATTAGCTGCACGGACAATGTGAAAATGGACCAATGGACGACTAATAATTTGTAGTGAATCATGATGTGTGTGCATATGCTGCTGCTACAACGTTCGGTTGAGTGTTTGGTTCCTTTTTTTTTTTCCACCTCTTCTGATAACTTCTTCGTTGCTTTTTGAGAGAATGAAGTCGCGCGCGCTTACGATGCGATGGCTGCTATCGATTGCAAACGGTGCAATCTCATAAAATGCAGAGTGTTTTATAATTCAAATGGCAATTTGAATCGCAGTATTGTATGTGTGTATATTACGATACGCTTATTCACGTTGCTCAAATGTCTGTCTGTCTGTTCAGTTAGTTCTTCTTGATTGTTTTGTTTCATCCGCATTTACCGCTATTTCTCTTTTGGCTACTCGGATCCTGCCAAACAAACACTACACACACCGAGAACCGTTCAACACGTCCAAATAAAAAGCAATGCTCTTTTGTATTCTTGTCTTTTTTTTTTGTTGTTTCTTCTCACTCGTTTTGGCCCAAAATGGCTTTGATGCATGCAAATCTAACAAACGATATCTATTTACTAATGATCTTTTTTCGGTTTATATTTACGTTTACTTTGTGCATTTAGAGCAGATAATTGTCATTTTTTTTTTCGATTACAATTTCGACAATGATTGTTCAACCGTTAAAACGTTTTATTTTCTCTCGTTATATCCGCGATAAAACATACAACAGCAAAAGTAAACGCGTACCAAATTTATCATACGGATTAATTAAATCGTGTGTATCGATAAGGACACAAAGAAAAACTGGTCGAATAAACAAATTGAAATGAACGCAACGGAAAATATTGCGGTTGCGCGAACGAATGGTCTGAGATTGATGGAAACAACTCACAACTCTTAATCAATTCATCCGAAAGAAAATATTCAGTTTGGTTTGGTTTGTTTATATTAAACTTCACAGTTCGAATTCCGACTTTGCCACAAATATTCAAAACAATTCGTTTTATGATGCACAACGTTTGATGATATTATATTGCACTTGAAAGCGACCCTTTTCGGCTGATTCTTATTTGTTATTATCGATTCAGTTGTTGCCCGCGTTTGACTCTTTGATGCAATGCATTCGTTCAATTACACAGTAACGAAGTAAAATTACTGATGTTGAGTATTGTTGAAGTTGTTTTATATATATTTTTTCTCTTCACTTTCGTCAAACAATGACACGCTTTCAATTGATCATGATTAGTCGATTTGCATTGGGATTGGTTTTTTATGTTCGATGCTGATTTGGGCGATTGTCTGATTTATGGAGTTTTCACTCTCTCTCTCTCCCTCTCTTTATTATTGCTGTTATGATGGTGTATGTACCCGCTCATCTCCAAATCACAATCACGCCGTTGACATTTCCACTCCAATCATAATTATTTTTAGACCATTTATTTTTGTTATCGCTTTAATTGGCCGATTGTTGTTGTTGTTGCGATGCGTTACGTTTCGATTCCAATCGAAATATTTCGCGCAATCAATTGTAATATCAATTTCATTCAATTTTAGCCGTATGCACATTGCACACATTCCATTCGCAGATATTGTGGGCTAATTGATACTCAATATCGATGACACAATTACTCTCTCTCTCTCTCTCTTCGTTGCTCGCGCACACAATTCGTAGACACCAACAGCTAAATCGGAAGAAACTCAGACTACTTGCTGATGCCGATTATGATCTCGAAAAATACTCGAAATTTACTTTGTGTAACAATGATTTGCTCCAGTCGCATGAGTTTAACATGTTTACGAGCTGGCTACTCGGTTTATTCATATGGTCATCATTCAAAAACATACATATTGTCTCATGGCAAGTTCTTCATTTTACACAGCAAACAGACAGCATAGCGATAGATTGTGTCGAAATTAGAACAAATTCGATCTGAATTCTCTTGTTATTGACTTGTTCTTCTTAATAATTTCCAACACTTTTTTTTCCTTTCATCACACAGCGCTTGCACCTTTAAAACCTCTTCTAAGTATAATCTTTCATTCACTTTCAAAAAGGAGACACCATCGAAAATCGCTAAAACTTTTGTCCGATTCAGATTCACATAAAATGAGATTCGTTGTGCTCGTTCGATAAACTAAACAACACACAAACATACACGCAAGCACAATTTATGTCTCTGCTTCGGCCAAAGAGCGTTTTGTTGTTTCGTGTCTTTTTTCTTCTCTCGCGATTCACACTTGAAATCTTTTATCGATGAGTTTTTTTTTCTCTCTTTCTTTGGGATGCTTAGATTTTTATACCGTGCCCGCTGCTCTTGCTTAACACTTTTCTCCCTCTTATTATTTTTCTTATTATTCGTGATAAAAAAAAATAAAAATAAAAAAAAAACTAAACGAAAGAAACACACCACAGCCACGGTCGTCAATTCGTACGACGGAGACGATTTTATGCGACCAACTGTTTGTACGCTTATTTGTATTATGAACTACTGCAGCGGTGAAATGATCATTTCAAGTGTGTGGCTGGCTGGCTCTGATGTTTCGGTGAATCGAGCACGCATGCAACCGAGCGACGCAAACCCAGTTCGCAACGCGTTTGTCGTTGTTGTCGTGACGCGCGCGCGCAGCGATTGAGCACGCGCCGCACCGTACACATATCGCTATCTCTGTATTGTTATTTTGAATTGGTAAATTCTGCTCACGTTAAGCGTTCGCACCTGTCAACGAACCATCGCCAATTTTTTCTTTCTTTTCGTCTTCTTTTTCTTTTGCTGCTTTGTTTCGTTTTGACTTTTTGTTTTGTTTTTTGCTTCATTTTGCGATCTATTTCGAATCTCAGATCACAAATGATGGCAATTTTGACATTCCGTCGGAAATTTTCTGCAAGGTCCAATGTTGTGCCAAAACAAAGAAAGTCTTTTTTCTCTGTCAATGTGTCTCTTTCGACATGTTTTATCGGAGAGTTCAATTTGGCTGATAGACTTGGGTATTTTTTGTCATTCGGTTCAATCGGTCAAATACTTATCGCTTATCATGGGCAATGAACAAAAAAGTTGAATTGAATTGAATTGATTGATCGATTCATTCGAGATTTTCGTTTCGCTTCTCTCTCTCTCCCTCTCTCTCTCTCTCTCTCTCTCTCTGGTGAGAAATCTGGTTGTTTAATGAAAAAAGGAAATATTTTGAAAAAGAATATAAGGCGTTCGAATATTCGAATGTGAATGTGACGCCTTACGCCATCTGTAGGTGAATTGCTTAAAAACTTAAAAGAAGAAAAAGAATAAGTCTTTGTACGATAAAATAAAATGCGATTGTATAGTTTTGGTCAATTTTAATAAAATTCTCTGCATTCGTGTACAGATTCTTAATATTGTCGATATTAATTTGAACATTTTTTCCCCCTTTATTACACTAGACATTTCTTTCGAAATACTTTTTTTCGCCACTTCCGGACCCACCGTTAAATATGGTTTCGCTCAACATTTCGTTTTCAACATACATACAATCAATTATCTTGTGGATTTTTTCGTTAATAATTCTTCGGTTAGTTTATTCATGAATTCATCAAAACACCGGACAACGTGCAATAAGACATGAAACATATACATATATATTGCGACTTAAATCGACTTTGGGGACATAGTGTGGGTGTGTGTGCAGGTAAAAAAATGTTTCTTTTTTCATTTCTTCTATTCAATAACAAATTGTTATCATTATTTTCGGTTTAAACAGAACCAATTTGCAATAGAAACATGGATTTTAATCCATAAACTTCCTATTTGCCGCGTTACCTCAATGAAATTACAGATAATTTTGGTGCAATGATGTGTGTTCGTTTCGAACCGTTTAAAAAATTGACCGTATTTGGCAATTTCTTTTTCGGAAATTCACTTATACCCTAATAAAATTCACTAATTTTATTGAATTAATAAAGATTTACAATCATTTTTTTCTGCGATTTTAGTTGTATGTGCAATCCAAAAGGAAAAGAAGAAAAATTCAAATTCATTGTAATTACTCGAAATTGGGCTGTGCTCTAAAATCACTAGGCCTTTTTTGTGTAGATCAAATTTTTATTAAAGATTTTGATTTTGATTTTTTTTTTCAAGGTAGTTAAATGCGACAACATTCACTCATTGAGATTCATTTTATTATTTGAAAATGGTTTGCCATTTTACTGTGCAGTAAGTAATTTTTTCTTGGCTTTTTCTCGCCTAATTATTGAACTCTGGATTGATTTGAATGCAAAATGAAACTCAATAACGACCATAAATATGTAACATATAATAATTATAAGACAAAGAAAAAAAAACGACATTTGAATAATATGGAATAATTCTGTGTAACATTGATTTGTGGACTGGACATCAAGAGTCTGATAATAGTTTGTCTTTTTTTTCTTTTGTAATTGATGTTTTCAACAATTATTTAGCAATCACACGAGTTCTCAGATTAGTTGTTACTTGAACATATGTATATATTGCGTGTGCGTGTGCGTGTGTGATATTCTCTGATTTTGTGTGGTTGAACTCATTTCATCAGTTTTCTGTCTTTATGTCGCTCTATTTAGGTTCCTGGGTCAATGAATAGCCGGCGGTGTTCCATCTGGTGTTCCATCTGGTCCCTACGAAATGTTCCATTTGAAATGTCATTAGCATTTATTTGATTGTATTTCTATTCGGAATTTTCAATTTTTCAGTTTTCATTCGGTATTTGAATTTGGTATTTTCATCGTTCAATTCTTTGAGCGACAATAAATAAACAGAAATGTCATGTTAAAAATATTCCTCAATGAAAATATGCTAAAATTGAAAGTGTCTAAAGTCAATGTGCAAGTGCATCATCCATTAAGATGGATTGATAAAGATTCAACGACAGTTGAGAATGACGATTTATTTACGTTTTGGTCGCTGGGTGGTCGCGGAGCCTTGTCCTGGTTGCCTTGTATGGATCGTCGCAATGAATTGGGTCGGAATAAATATAGTATCACAGCACAGATTAACAATATTGACATAAACATGAAATTGCCACCATCCTCAGCAGCACGTTGCCCATTCGGCATAACTGGAACTAGAAGTTGAACAAAAAAAAAGAACATGATAACATTATTCGTAGCGTAGAAGATAAAATCCCAAAGTTGACTTACGATCAAAGCATTCGGTGTCTGTACAATGGGTTTGGCCTTGCCTTAGCTGAAATTGATTTGTTGGAAAATTCCATCAAATGTTCTGAATGCATGAATCTATATCATTCGAAAAATATTTTTGTTTTCTCCTTACCAAAGCCAGAAGTCGTCGCATAGCAAATTCATGACTCCAAAAACATGCACATTCGTCCATTTCGTCGCCCATTTTGTGTTCCTTTTAATTTAACGTTTGTCGCTCACAACGGCTTATCACTTCTAATCGAAAACTTGTTAATTTATCAACGAAACGATTCTCGTTCAATTTACGTTCGGCTATTCACTTTAATTCCAATCTGGATGGACTATTCAATTCTTGTGTGAAACAATTGCTTATTAATAATTTCGGTCACAACTGAAATGAGAACAAAGAATGAATCACGATTTTTTTTCTCTTCTTATTTTGAAAAATATTTGTTTTGTTTATTTCATCTTTTGTTTGAAAACAATATCAGAGAGTGAAAAAAGAAAGAAGAAGAAAACTAAGGCATCCGCATTTCGCATTTGGCTCACGTGTTATTTTCTTAACGACCCCGTTCAAAATTTCCTCGTAAATGTCGGGAAAAAAACAAAACTGATCATTGTGACTATGACCGAAATCAACAACAACAATAAGAAAACACACAGTTTGTGTCGCATGACAGAGTGCAAGGAACACGTGAAAAGAAAATCGTAGGCACGTCGCTATAAATAAATCGTAAAAAACATGCATCGAACACAATATTTTCACTCTAGATACATGTATTGGGCCAATACCCCAGCTCAGCTGATCTAAAAAAATCGAGCGAGAGATGTATGGCAGATTTTGTACTGTCTTTCCCATAGAACTGGCACATTTTCAATAAGAAAACAATCGTGCGGCGTACAAAGAGACCGCACCAATTCAATGACCGACAAGACAAAACAACAACATCACCGAAAACTGCGTGTGTGTCATATGTTTTCGGAAACGAAATGGATCCCAAAAACAAAACAATCGAAAAAAAATGCGTTCACATTTAGTAGTCGCGGTTGCGAGTCAGTCATCAATTCAGTTGTCGCAAAAAAATCATTCGTCTGCGTTGGAAAATTCGCACATTCATCGATCGGGCTGGAAAACGAATTCGGTTTTGCTCTGTGTGTCCATGAACAATAACGGCTATGCATACAATGGAATTCATGTGTTCATTGGAATTGAAATTGTGCTTAATTTGCGAGCTCCAAGAATTGCGATAATGACAAACCTTCACGACAATTACAATTCATTTTACCAATTCGTGGATCGGATGTTTTTTTTTCGTTTCGAATTCCCGTGGAAATTTGAGCGAGAGAAACATTTAATGCATTTGACTCACTTTGCATTTCAAATTGCGAAAAAAATAACAACAACAACCCAACGCTTGAGTCAATAAACATCTCGCTCTGTTAATTTTTAATTACTTGCGAAGAAAGCCAAGCGCAAACGCACTCGCTAGCTATTTTTTATTGTTTAATGTGATCGATTTTCGTGCGATACCTTTCGAGCATTTCATGTAATTTTTTTCGTCGATTTTATCAATGTTCATCGAACGTCGGCTTAAAATGAAAGAGCACCGGAAATGAATTAAATCCAGGGCAGACACGTTTTAACAAGAACTTTTGACACACACACACAAAACTACAATCAAATATCAATAGTAATCACGAAACGATCAACGATTCAATTTATTGATAATAATTAAAACGCATTTTTTTTCTATGCACAAAAAATTACCATGATAATCGGGCTCGATAATGGAAAAGTATGAAATTGAAGAAAAAAAAACCAAACAAACGAAAAAAAAAAGTTGATTTTGATCTGGCTCTTGACACAATCGACAACCTGATTCGTGTTTTTTTTCGTCGTTTATTTGATTGCTTGGATTTTTATTTGATTTTGAAAATCGAATGATGTTCGTTTCCCTCTATCTTCAGTCTAGAGCACATAAACACAAGTTTCAGATATGTAAATGCCGATGTGAAAACTATTCTAAATGCACGATCATCACGACAATGTCATAAACAAATTGAAACGGCTCTTTATTTTGGTTTTCGTTTTGGCAACACCACAATCGCATTTGCGCGCCTAACGGTATTGCAGTGGTGTTAGTTGCCATGTATATACGAATGATTTACACGCGAGCTAATGGGCGTATCTATTGTTGATCTAATGAAACTTGCACGGAAGTTTGAATACACTGGTGCGACTTATCGTTCACTTACAAATATTCTGAATTTGACTGGTTTCAAAATGGAGTTGTGGTTGGCCTTTACAAAAACAACAGCAGAAAGAAAAAAATGGTTCGTTATCACAAAATGTGATTCGTTCTGCCGAGAAATATTGTAACACAAATAGATTTTGTCAAAAAAGACGATAATGATTCTACGCGCAAAGCTGGAAACTCACAATTTTTTTTTTTAAATGTCGAATTTTTTTTTTATTTGAAGAGAATTGTCAAAATTTTCGGATTTCTTTTTATGAATAAAAAAAAATTTCATTGATTGACTGAATAGATCTGGCAGAGATGCAATAATGAATGGTTCAATCAAGAACTGATCTAAATTAAATGATGTTTTACAAAGAAACGAAACGAAAATGATTACCGTCTTCGACTGCAAGTACTGTTACAATTCCTCGGAGTGATAATTTAATACTGTAACGAGCAATGTTCGAATCTACGGATCATTCGCTGAATTTATCTTCGGAAACAAGCTGGTTCGTTGAGTTCTTTGTTTGATTGTCTATCCAATGTTTCGTTAAAATATTTTCGGTTTTATTTTTGCACCGTCTTTTTTTAATTCTCGTTGTTGTTAAACTTTACCTCACATACAACAAGTTCGTGCGCAAAATGAAATAAATGTTGTTTTATTTTTTTTTTCTGTAAATTTCGGAGTCTGTCAATGTCTTTAGTACTGATGCGGTCCAGATTTTCGTGTGCAAATGTGCTGATGTGTCACTGAATACTATATATATATAGAGAGACAGAGACACAAACACAAAACGCGCTATTTCGAAGTTCAACTGGCTGTGTTGCTTGTTTCTAGCTGAGTGTAAACAAATAACATGCACCTTATACACTGCGAACCAAAACAAGAAGCGTATTCTTTGTGCGAGCGAAAGAGATGCCTAAACTTATCGTTGCGTTGCGTTCGATATGGCCAACAATCGTGACAAACTACATCAAATATATAATTTTTCAATCCAACTAAATGAAATCAGAATAATAATAATAACATAGAGTTTACGATCAAAAAGTCAAGTGCTGGTAGTTGTGTGTAAGCAACGACAGAGAAAGAGACGTATTGAAGGCAATGAATTGTGGAACAACTACAAATGTGAATAGATCAAAGTGTAGAGAAGAAAAAAATGAAAAAGAAGAAGAAAAATAAATGGCATGCTAAGAAATGTGGCACTGTTTTTTGCCCAGACATTTTTCAGTGAGTGCACTTTGCGCTCGTAATCAATCACATCGACACGATGACTTTTTCGATGCATTTTATGGTCAGACATCATACACAAATATACATGCAATAAATTTTTTTAATCTACCGATTTTATTGATGTATACAATGTAATGTAACCTATGTAATCCATCGTTGTTAGTTGATGTTATGTTATCAATTTTGACCTTTTCTCCCAATCGGTTTCTTTCCAACACATTTATGAAAACACCACAAATTCATAATTCTCTCTCAATGGGATTCATCACTAGGATGGAACTTTATTGGTTTTTTCTTCTTTCGTTCCTTTCGCACGAGTTCAATATCACCTTCACAAGGCCCTTTTATTTACTCTTCATTTTTTTTTCCTGCTTTGAAACGCCGTATAATTTCGTTTTTTTTTTTTGTCAAAACGTTGGAAAATGATTGCTACTTTGCTGAGAAGTAACGTCAAATGGACTCTTTCGAAGCGAAAATATTAGCCATCTATTCATTTAGATAGGTTAAAAAACACAATAAAATCTATTCCTGTCATTCACATACATGATTTATTGTTGTTGAATCATTCGTCTAGCATGGAATGATCATATAGATTTTCGGTTTTATCCGTGCAAATTCATCAAAGTATCAACAAAAACCACTTTACTTTGGTGAACTGGCTGTCGTTCATTGCGCGATGCATGTGTAAAATATGTTCATTAGCATATTTTTGTATAATGTTATTGTTATGCGTGTTGTTTTGTCGTGTGTTGGATTTCCACCTGAAAATCGGCATTGCTTTGCCATTGCGATTGTTGACACAGACAATGAGCAAATATATTGGCTTTGATAAATCTGATAAATCCTTTGGAAAGTTCTCTGCCATTTAAAGGTGTACAAATCTTGAGTAATTTTTGTTTCTTCAATTCTTTCTTAATGCCCTCTCTCTTTCTCACTCATCCGCTTGAACAACAAAACCCGTACTTACTTGAAGATGTGTGTGTGTGTGTGTGTGTTCTGTTTTTCTTCTGTTAATTGGCTTAATGCAGCCAGCAAACGATTGGAATGATAAGATACGAATTTTATACCGAGTAATTTAGTATTCAATAGATTTTATTGAAACAACACGATGAAAAATTCCACTTTTACTCCGAAACCTTGTTGTGTGGTATGCTTGCTTCGTGTGTATTTAAAGTGCTTCAAAGCACAGAATAGCAAAAAAAAAAACTCTCTCAAATTTTTTCCCAACTCATTTCCAATAATTTTGCTTGTTTTCAATGGTTTGATTTCGGTGTGTCGTTTTAAAACAAATTATTCTCAAAACATCGAATTTACCACAACACAGGCACTATTTAACCATAAATCCCGTATGTGTTTTTTTCTTTTTTTTTCTCTAAAAATTTGCCGTAAAAAGTTCAAACGAAAAAAAAAGAGAATTGCTTTCTAGTTGTTGGCTCGTGTGTGTCGATATTTTGGTGTTGTTTCAATACCTATCTATGTAACTCTATGTTGTTTGACTGTCGATGCAATGCGTTTACATCACATCACTATGAAACAAATAGCAGCGAATGTTGTGATACGGAAAAGAGAAAACAAGCAACCAATACAAACACAGTGTCATTCATCCGCACACGCACACCCATGCACAGCTTTGGTGCAAGTGTCAAGCATTTACCTGCAACGACTACAGCAAATTAACCTGTCGTTGTGTGCGATTACATACATGGATACCAACCGTTATATATCGTACATTTTGTACGGTTGGTACTGCTTCCATGACACGCACCGTTTGCGTGTGTATTCGCTTCAACGTCGACCAACTCCATCTCTCGGAGTGAAGCCACAATTTTGGTCATTTTGTGTGCGAAATTTGCTGGAAATTATAAAGAAAAAAGATTTAAATTTTCCGTACAAAAATATTTCAAATTGATGGAAATATTCCGAAAATAGAGCAAACATGTCAATTATCCTCTCGAATATTTGAATTTTCTTTATGCACAATTCCATTTCACTCCGTTGATTATAAGAAAATGTTAATTTTTCCATGAATTTTATTACAACACAAAAGAACTATTCCAACCAATTTATGCAATGTAATTAGTTTCAACGCAAAAAAAAAATGGCAATTATTTAAATCAATTTCGTCTTAGAGGAAGATTGAATGTTGATGTGACAGCGAAAGCCCCATTCCAGCACATGGAAGCGATGGTGGCTATGATGAGGACGAAGAGCATGAATCTGCGTACAAATGTAACGCACAACACGAAATGGCAATGCGAGAGAGGGAGACAGAGAAGAAAAAGGGCAGTTGTAGATTGAACCAATTGAAGCTCGGTTGACGCACGTTCAGCCCGACACGGCTGTATAAAAGGATGTTGTTGCCATTGTGAAACGATCAGTTGGCTGACAACACTTTTCGATTTCACTTGTGTTCCACTTTTTTCCCTCAAGCAAATTTGAACATACCGTTTTGATATCTCAAATTACATTCATTCTTCATAACGTTTCCGGAGTGTTTCAGTGCTAACAAAACTGAGTTATTTTATTTTTCTTTGCAAAAACAAACAACATCACTCAGCCGTTTTAATTTTTCATTTTTTTTTTTCTTCTTCAAAATTTACATTGGCTTTGATAAAATGTGGACAGAATTTTCGCGATAAAAAAAAGCAAACATACAAAGTAGCAAGTTTTGTTTTATTCGGATTCAGTAGTGATGATATCAAGACCACCACACTTGAGACGTATGAAAAAATGAGATCTTGGACAAACCATTCAATATAGAATTTCAGGTAATTTGACCATTTCTCTGGTTCAACTATTGAAAATAATATATTTTTAGTTCTTCTTGATTTTAAACCAAAAACTAAGAAAATAATTCGCTGGATAGAAATAATGTGCCTAATCGATCGGCAGATGAGAAAATTGAACCAATAAAATTTCCACATTTCTATCAGAAAAATATTATTTGCAAATTTATAATGATGACAACGAATTTATTGCTTCATGTGGAACGTAGTTGAAAACATGAAGCTATTTTGTTTTGAATCATTTGTATTTCGTTGATCGAAATGAAAACAATTGGACTAAATTTTCAAATAAAGTTTTAGAACAAAAACAAGATGCCTTACATTCGTAAGGTTAACTTTTCTACACTCCCAAACATATAATTTTCAATTAAATCCAATTCTATGCATTGAAATTAGGAAAGAATCATATTTTAATCAGAGCGATTTCAATACTCTGTTTTCTATACATTGTGACATAGTAACATTTTTACCATGTTTTTTTGGCGTACAGCGTATAGTGTACTACGCATCTACCCTACGACCCTAGAACAACGCTAGATTTCGCGATTTTCGGCGTTCAAAAATCGAAAAAAAAAAAACTGATTTTTAATGGATCGAAAAATCCGGGGCGATCGCAATACTTTTCTTACACGACATGGTCGTGTGGAAAAGTAAAAATAAATCAAATCAATTTGAAAAGAAGTCGGAATTTGAGGTCAAATTCATTCGAGTGGCAATTTAATAAATATTGAAATGGATTCAAAGCAAAAAAAAAAAAACCGCAGATAATCTATTGATTTCCTGGGACGCAAGATTCCACGGTAAAAATTCTATCTGTTGAATGCAATAAATATCTTTTCAAATTATAAACGCGATTGAATTTCATCGAAATATATTTTGGTCGAGCATTCGAAATTAACGTTTCATTCCATTTTTTTTGCGCTCGAGTGGATAGTTCAAATTAAAATGACGTCTATAATTTTCTGACTTCGGTTTTGATGAATATTTCATTTCAATTCAAAATGCATAAAATCACTTAACAAAAGAGTTGCAAAATTATTTCTCACACAATCCACTCTTCCTTGAGTTATCGGGATAATTTCGGTGGCACGCTGAAAAATAGTGGAATCTCTCTCTTTTACTCCAATATGGTCTTATGTACGAAAAAAATAATTCCAAACGATTTTATTGGAATGACTTAGAATTCTAGCCCAGAGTGACATCGAAAGCATTCTTCAACTAATTTTTTTGTTATCTTAAACTGCACAAATTCTATGTGTCCCCCTAAATGAGTGCGTACAAAGCATAACATTTAATATGAGCATTTAAATTAGGCTTATTAAAAATGAAATCCGCTTGAAGTGGCCGTATGAAATGTGTCGGTGTCAATATGAGAGGTTTGATCTTAGAAAAATCCGTCGAATGAATTTTGCATTCGATAACAACAAACGGTTTGGCGAACAGAAAGCAAGCAGCCCAGCAATATGCGCAGAAATTTTGTGTAACCATACTGAAATTTTCATTTCAGTTTTGGATCTGGCGTGCAACCGAATGGATGTTCTGGCCGTGATAGAAATCATTGTGTGATCAAATGAATATGTGTGCATATTTCATGTTAAAATCTTCGTGCGTGATTAATCAATGTTTGGAACATTTATCGCTCGCAAAATGCGATGCTAATCACCATCTAAATCGTCTCAATCAGTACACTTAAATGACGAGATCAAGAGAAGGTGAATTCAAAAAGATTCTATTAAGTGATTTAGCAAATAATGAACCGGGACAATCTGTTGCTCTGCTACTACTTTGTTTTCGTTCTTTTTTCGCATTGCATGCGTATTGCGCCGAAAATAATTAATTGCCACAATTTTGGCTTCCGGGTAATTAGTTGTGTTCAGTGAACGAAATTACAACATAATAAATGAGCTGATTCGTTCTCACTCAGTCACTTACTTAGTCGCTGTCGTTCATATTATCGTGTTGCATCGAATCTGATTTAGGGCCTAATGTGTGTATGTATGCGCACGTTGTTGTAGGCATTGCTCTCAGTGCGATTCATCAAACAGCGGCAGGAATTATAATCCATTTGTCTCATTACACTCATGCAATTTTCATTGTTCTCATTCGCTATTATTATGTCATTTCGATTGTAAGACAATTTCCGTTTTCTTTGACAATTCGTTTTTGTATAATGAGAATTGGCCGCCACCGCCGCCGCTGCTGTTGCCGCACTGCCAGAACAGAACAGAAGAAACACTTCGGATGGAAAATGAAAAACTTTTCCTCGTTCATTGTCTACTAGTTTTTGAAGGGTTCAACAAAAATAATGTAAAGAAACAAAACATTGACATCGAGCTGTCCATCCATGCATTTGAAACTTTGCTTACGGGTTGATATGAGTGTGAATAGCGACAAATGGTTAGATTTCAATTGAGAATGTTGATTGAAGAGTTTAACAATCTATTTTGAAATCACTCTCGAAACCAGATTACATTTTGGTGTCGATATTATGTGTCTAAAAAAGCACACCGTATTGATGAATGGCATTTGAATAGTAGATGATCGGATTGGAATCGAATGGATGGTATAAATGTTTTGTTCATGCATATTCTCGTTGGCCGGACTATAATAACGTATCAATTGAAAGCCAAATGTCATTGATTATTAGCTTATTCTCAGTGCTTTGGCCTTCTCTTACGGACAAAAGCGAGCAGAGACTACTACCAAACTGGGAGAAACATTGTCGACACAGCGAGGGAAATTGATGTAGAGAATGTGCGTGTGTGTGTGTGCATGCGAAAATAGACAAAGAGACCGAGAGACAGAGTTTAGGGAAACCAATTTAAATAATGAGTATAATGTTTGTGACATGAAAAATTTTCACATTGAAATCGACAGTGTCTCAGAACTTGTTAAAATTCATTTGAAAACTGACACACAATGCATAGACATCGAGCATTTATGTAGTCTCTCATATCCACATCCACATCCACGAATGCGATATATGCGGTGTGTATGTATGAATATGTGGATGCACAGGTGGACCGATTGAATGCCATTGGACGGGTGAATCGTCGATATATAAATCGTGTATGAAAAGCATTCAGTTTGTGTTGCGGTGGATGACGTGAAACAATTAATTGACCGAATTTTAACCAATACACTTAATGTCATATCAATATCATTTGCAGACCATTTACTTGATACCGTGCGAATGAGACAATGAAGATGAAGCACATGAATGTTGTGAATGCCAATTGCTGTTACATACATCTATGTCAATTTTGTTTCCCTCTTGCGCTCCATATATGAAAATCTCTAAAAATCCACATTGATTTTCGGAATAAATATTATTTGGGCAAAGCGAAGAGAGACAGGGCGTTGAATTATTCCAATCGATAGAAGCACAAACATTGAAGCATGTAATTCATAATCATTTATACCGTTCGAGAGTGCACACAATTTTCCACGGTGAGCATGACCAATATTCCAAGGGCGCAGAAAAAAAAATATGAACATACGGCAACAGGTTGAAGGAATACAGGGCTGCTAATCATAAGCTGAATTGGTCATTAGCATCAAACGGCTTATTCATTTTACACCTTCCGACACATCGTTCAATTCAAACGATATCGCATCATTTTCACTATCGATCGAGAAACCAAACTTGTTGCTTTGCTTCAATTATTCTATTTATCTATCGAATTTAAACTATTTTTCAACTCTTGTAATTTTGAATTTAATTCCAAATGTTTCGTTTTTTTTAATGCGTATTCAGAGTGCTGTGATAAAAGTGGCGAAGGCATCGCCTTAGCGGCGATGTCATCTATCGGTCAAGTAGTGAAAACGCGAACACCACAAATCGAGCTAACCGATCCGGAGCAACGGGAAACATGGTCGGGGAAAGTTGATTTTCTTTTGTCGGTTATCGGATTTGCAGTTGACTTGGCAAACGTCTGGCGATTTCCATACCTATGTAATTTGATGAACATTTTTTTTTTTGTTTAAATCAACACAAATACACTATTTTTTTTGTTTATTCAGAGCTAAATTATACGTTTTTATCCCAATATTTCAATGTAGGTTACAAAAATGGCGGAGGTGAGTATTGACTATGAGATGACACGATCTATTGTATTCAAATCAAATTTTTTCGATTATTTTATCCACATACATATATATCTATTTTTATAACGTACAGGTTTTGCATGTGTTTTGTCTATTGTTCATTTCGATTTACTTTGAAACGTTCGCAGATCCGTTCGTCTTTTTCTTTTGAGGATAGAGAGGGGCGGAGATCAAAATTGAATTTTCCCACCCGTTTGCGACTATCTATCAGAGTTTAAAGATTTAGAACAAATGAAAATGCATGAGAAATCATTGTCGAAAATTTAATAATCGCACGAAAAGAAAGTGTGAACGAAAAAGTCGATGAAAATGTCATCGACGTGGGAAATTGGTTTAAAGTTCACGAGATGTTGTGAACATTTTTCTCGTTCGTTCGTCGCATTTTTCTCAATTGCTGGTTTCATATTTCGAATCATTGTCGACAGTTCGCAACTTCAAAGGGAATAATAATAATGATGACTGCCATATTTTGAGCCAAGCCAATAGACACCCACCTTTCGGACCAAACGATACCAACGGTTACGTCTTCTGTCTGAAGAGACACACTCAAAGACACACACACACACACACACACACACACACAGCCAGTGCGCCCGCTATTTTTAGTGAAGATTGTAAATTATGATAAGTTAATTGCATTAAATTTCAATATTTTTTGCCTTCTCCGTGCCCACAATACACACCAACAGAGCAACATATGTATGCTCGATATCAAGTCACTGTCATTATCGATGATTGAATTCAGTGCATTATACCCTGAAATCAGAACGGTAACATTCTTTTGGGAGGGGTAAGGGCGAGTATACGAGCAGGCGAATGTGTTAAACGATCGTAAATTTTGAAAGGCGATGTCGACGACGACGACGACAACAACGACGAAGAAGATGAGGATGGTTTTTAGGGCGCACACATATTGAATCAAAGCCAAACAGAGAGTGTGAAGAAACAAAAAGGTGGCATTTGCGTTGCCATTATCTTTGTTGCGCTTTGACACAACAAAACAAAGCACATACATTTTCATATAGCATCGACCTCTTTTCTATTGCAATAGTGAGAAAGAGAGACATTGTGTAATTGATTTCAAATTTTCTGTGTGTATGTGTTGTTACCAAAAATCGAAATTGAGACACATATACACAGAAAGGGAGGGAAGATGGAGAGAGAGAGAGAGAGACCAAAAATGCCACTCTAATGCAAGAGTTATTTGGAAAATCAATTATTTGGTCTTTGTCAAAGTAAAATCTAATTAGAATCTCCGATATGACACATTTCGAAAGCATTAAATCGGAAATTTTGCATTTTCATTAAATGAAAAATGGATGTGCGTGGAAAATGAAGCGCAAATTTGTTGGGCGCAATTTTTTTTCTCCGGCGTGGCCAACGCGCACGGATAAAGTCCACACTGAATTTGAAATGATCCACCGACATCTTGAGAGATAACTGCTGATTTCCGTTTCAATTTAAACAGCTCACGCATCACAACGACACAGTCATAGAAAATTACTAGTTGGTTCTTTTGTTAGACAAATGAAACGATGATCAAAGACATCACAAACGATGGTTTCTTCGTTCGCCTCAAAGAGATGACAAAAAGACATCATTGCTTTTGCTTTTGTTTGCTCGTTTGAATTCGGCGCGTACGATGCTCTTCGTTTTTTTTTTTTGCATAAGGGGATCCGAAGATGGAAAGCACAACAAATTCAATTACATGAAGAGGAATAGTCAACGGAAATGATATTTAATTCAAAATGATTGTTCTTTTCGCAAGTGAAAATGGTTTTTCATGTGCCAAAGCTCACTTGATTTATCCATTTTTCACACGACTCACCAACTCTTGTGACAATTGAATCGTTGAGGCTATCAAATTCTCATCCATGTAATACCCAATCGAACTCATGCGCTGTGTGACAATAATAATAAAGAGAATGGGAGTCGAACAACAGCAAGAAACGCAGTCCGAGTTTTGTTTGAGTATCGTTTTGATCTTTGAATGACTTGTCAAAAACAAGTTTGCACTTACATTTCCCTTCGTTGAGACGAACACTTTGAACGTCCATTCATATGTGTGATTGGGTTTTTTTCTTCTTCTCTCTGTCCAGTTATGTTTTGGGCTATTATGATGCTTTCGGTATACCCTCACATTCAATCAGCACGATCTGCAGTGGTTTCGAATGACACACAAGAGAAGCACATTCAAAACAGATTCACATTCTAGAATATATGGTGTGCACATTATCGTGCAGTCGCAAATCTTGAACAATACGATTGCCATGCAATATGATGAAAGGATTACGTGAAATTCCTTTTTTTGCTTCGCATCGTTAAGTAAAGCTGCTCAGGTCACCAATCGTCCGTAATCGTCCCAGTGTTCACTTGAATTGTTTCTTATCGTGGCTTTTCATGTTGAATGTTTCTACATAATCTTTTAGAAGAATCTTATGTGAAATTTTATGTAGTGGCTCGGACTGTGACACGTGCGTTCAGGTTTTTTTCTTCTACAAATGAAAAAAGAAAAATGAAGTCGAATCAAGGTATAATGACCAAAAATTAAGTCGCTATTAGGCATTTGTAATTAGGAAGTGGTTCATTATGAAGAATGGATTGATGAACCATGCACTCAATCATTCAAACACAAAGTCATTGTTTTAATTCCAAGGCATTCATTTAGTTGTCGATGTTCAAATCGATTAACCCTTTGACGACCAAAACTGAACGGCTGGGAATTTTGCAATTCTGATTGCAGATTCGTGCTCAGCGACCCCAAAAATATTAACAAAAGTGTTATCGAAAATTAATTTTTTTAATTGCAAATATGAAAAAAATGATGGGACATATGTGTCCCATTGGTCGGTAAAGGTAACTATTTACCTTTATTTTTCTATGAAAAAAACATGTCTCCCATAAGAACTACGTGTAAAATCTTTTCCATTTTTAAAATTTATAGAATCGTTTTAAACCAAAAAATGGTTTGAATCATGCTTTGTTGTGCCCATTTAATCACGAATTTAACGATCTTTTTGTAAATTTGTGTGTTTCAAAATTCGCGAAAAGTGGTTGAAATACAGGGAAATCAGTGGTAATTATTTACCTTTACCGACCAATGGGACACATATGTCCCATCACGCCAAAAGCAATAAAAATTTGAAACAAAATTTTTTGTAGAAAAGGCGATTATCCTTAGAAAGTAACAGACACTCCGTACAACATTTCCAATTTTCAGCTTTAAAAGTTGTACCCTTCAAATTATATAGGGTTTGGCGGAATTTGAAAAAAAAGTTAAGATTTTTCGACTTTGAAGTGTTCTATTTGAGCACAGTGATGTAAAATATCCAATATTATGGTACATTCTGGTAGCTACATTCATTCTCTTTCAAAAAAAAACCAATTTTATCGAAATCGGTCTAAAAATGTGGAAAATATTGACGAAAAACAAATTGGGACATATGTGTCCCAAAGGTCGTCAAAGGGTTAATAATTCCAAGATGTACGGCCGATTAGCTGTAAATAATTGTTATGGCAGTAGTAGTTTGGTGCGAATTTTATGTCGCTATTATGGCACACATGTTTTAAGCAGTTATATATATTGTAGTGTATTTTCGGCGGATAGACAGCGTATAAACATATTGGCCGTTTCTCTTGGGATGCGAGTAAATTATGGTCGCTTTCCCTTTTGATATTCCACAAATGAATTACGTTTAGACTTTTTAGTACTAAGCAGGCCCATTGTGTGTACGCACCACCAAATCTTTTGCACCCTGGACGGTTAATCATATCGGTAGCTTTGTTGTCGTACGTTATCAATGTCATCAACATCATCATAGTCCAGTTTGGGTTGAGGTGATTTCACGTCGTATTTTCTCGTACTTCAATCGAAATTTCAACCTGTTGACACTTTGGTGTTGGCCAGAAGAGAATGATTGCCGATTTTCGAATAAATAACAATTGGTAATCGTATCTATCATACCATATGTAATTCCCCATTCCATCCATTCTTCTGCTTTACCTCCTGCTCTTCAAATGAAATCTTTTGGAAAAGTTTGATGAGGCTGTAATACGACGTTCCAGAATGTGAATCTAATGAAATTGGCAGTAACTTTTTAAATTGAATTATTTAATTTCAAGTTCTTCTGGAGGGGATGATATGATAAACAATCAGAAATGAATAAATCATGTGTCAAAATGGCAAGAAACAATAGAGCACTCTATTTGACGATTACGCAAATCTCTTTCATCCCATACAACTTTTGCAAGCAATTTTTCCGTTGTTGTCGTCGCTTGACTTCGAATGTTCGCATATTGTTTCCAATATATCTTAAACGTAGATTGTATCCACATTGCATTACTCATACTATATATTTGTGCCGAGAACGGGCGGGAGGGAGAGAGATGGAGTGAGTGGCAGCGTACGTTGATGTTCGGAAGAAAAGGAATTATGGAAAATAAAAGATCCACTATTAGGGCTAATGTAAAAGGAGTAAGTCGCGTCTGTCGCATTGTAATGTATGAAGTGTGCGGCAGCTATTGTATTCGACCGACCGACTGTGAAATGTTGACGCTTTTTACTGTTGCTGCTACTCGTTCTTCTGTCACATCGATCGCATTTGTCTTGGTGCACATTTTCCATTTGGCCGTTTTTTTTTCTCCCCTCACTTCACATCCTTCTGTTCGCACATCAACCAAGCCACCCTCATCATGATGGTAGATGAAGCAACAAGTTATAATATCAAATATGATTCCATTACTTACCGTTACGGTGGAATAGAGAATGGGAATGGGAATGGCTTTCGGACTAGTGAAAGTAAGAGAAAAAAAAAAGCAGTCAAAGGGGATTCTGGTCGTGCTCAACAGTTGATTATGGATTTTGGTTAGTGTGAGTATGATTGTGCGTACGACAATAATACGATTCGATTTATGATTCACTTTGCCACACATTTTTTCTGATTCTCTTGTTGTTCAGCTTTGTTGGGCTTTTTGGGCGCTACAACATTTGTCCATATTATGGTGGATTCGATTTGGAAACTCTCTCTCTCTTTCTACCTTCCGACTTCATCCTTCCTCTCACTTTCTCTTTGCTCTAATTTATGAAAATTGCGTTCGACGTCTTTATAGTCTGCCAAATCTTTTTGATTGCATTTCAGAAAAAATGTAGTCATTTCATAAAATTATCTATCTTACATTGAGATACACAACCAATTTATTTATGATTCAATGAAATTGAAGTCACTGACGGCATTTGCGTATTCGTTAAGTGGTCACAATGCAGCACATCAACCAGCCATGGCATTTTCATCGTTTAAATTTCTTTTCTCGATTCTCCGCTTCTGTTCTTTTTTTCATCTTCTCTTTCTTCACGTTCAATTTGATACACTTTTTTATGGGTGCATTCCTTTGGCAACCAATAAGCGGATCATATTAAGTAATTCCAATGTATTACAATGTCGTATAAATATTGCTGTGGTGTATCAGCAATTGAAAACAAAGTCCTTGATCCAGCCCATCCGATATCAAAACCATCGAATGATTCTCCTCAAAATCAATCGTACAGCGATTATCCAGCATTATCGTTGGGCTTTTGATTGTGAAGCGCCTTGGTTACCACTGGTGTGTAATCCATGTTAGAACTGGATTTTGATTGTTTCAAAATTGGTTTGTACTGTCTCCATTCAGATTATCAGACTTTAAATTTAAATCCAATATTTTCTTTTTCGAATCTCATTCAATCAAAAATGCTCGCTCGGCTGGTAGATTCAGAGAAATAAATAAACCGAAAGTAAATTAATTTAATTTCTATGAGTATCGGCCTGGATATCTTTCTTTTTTTCAACTAATCAACACAAATTATGTATTCAATTCATCCCAGGAAAGGGATCAAAATGGTTCTTGATGCATTTGCATGTGGTCGGAAAAGATTTGAGCATTTGTATATAGATTATATCCAATCAAATAAAATGCAAGCTACGAATATGGTGCGATACACGTTGAATGAGATGCAAGGTTGGAAATACTACTGTTCAAGTACTCTTTTCGAATGTAAATTGTTTAGTGTTGTGCAAAATGAACATGATGAGGAATTTGTGAGTAATGAAACCAAAGTGAAGGCACCTCATCAATACATGCCGCTGCACTGTCGTTGATGCACAAAGATGGAAAATAGCGTTATTTTGGACGCAAAATAGATTTCAATACACTCGTCGACAGGAAACCAGGACAAAAGATGGCGTCTGTTGTCGTATCATTTAGGTAGCTTCGCATACAATGAGCCGACACAGGCAACAGATAATTTTGTTAGCCAATATTAATGAAACAACAAATGATAGAGAGAAAGAGAGAGAGAGAGAGAGAGAGAGAGAGAACACACTGTCGACTCGATTCACGTATCCATGCTATTGTCGTGTAGTTGAGCTTCAAAAAAACATATCGCATCTAATAAAATTAAAATGCGCCTTCATTAGGGAAGGAGAGAGGAAGAAAAATCACGGGAAAGTAGCAACATTTCAGCGAAGTCTTTGCATATTAATTCCGCCCATGTGCATGGCTGTTCTAAAGGCATGCTCGTCGTTATTAAAATGATTCAAGCTGACTTCAGTTGTTTAAGCTCTACGAACACTATGCATTAGTTCAACCTTTTTATGATGGCATTCTTTTGACAAAGTGCTTCGTACACGTTTCTTTTCCCTCATCCGATCGAAAGTTTTTCAATTAAAATCACATCGTTCAATGTTTTGGTCTTTGTTTGCAAAAAAAAGTCACCGAACAATTCATATGACATTTTTGGAATTTGAGTAATGAAAATTTTATATAATTGCCCTTCATGTAATTCAATCGCGTTTACGTAAATTTTCGATAATTTATTTATCAAAATTTTGCGGCAAACTATCCCAAATATTGTCATTAGAAGTTACAATAACGCTAAACGAGTGCACACAATTTTCATCAAACGACCGGTCAACTGAAAAGCTTTTAGCCGTTGGTGTTTTTCGCAGTCGGTGTTTTTATTCATAATCAATAGCCGTGAAATATTTCTCAGTTATGGTTCTTTTGTAGTGAATTGAATCGTGCGACTGACTCGGTTGAGAGCAAATTGTTTCTTTTTTTTCTTTCTTGGAAAATATCGATCGTGTCCGAACATAAATGCTTTCGAAAAGAGAACCATTCCATTTTTGTCCATTTTTTGTTGCAACTTTTCTTTTTTTATTCAATCGACTAAGTCAATTGAAAACCGATGAATGTCAAACGGCATTTTATTTTGTACATACATCACATTAAATGGATTGGAATGACTATAGTTTATACATAAATCGGCCAGAGGATTAAAGAGCCAAAACACGTAATGCGAAATCATGCGTATCATACGATCACGACATTTATGCGCGCCGATACTAATGGAATAATCCAAACCATTGAAAGGGTGTATGTGGCAACTGGCAACAGGGAAACGGGTTTGAATGACGACTGAAAGTTGAAAGCTAAATACAAATAATCTGGATGGAAGCGAGAGATTTCATTTTGACAGCTTCAATTGTTTGCAGCAAAAGGATACACCATTATATCAGGAGTCAAATACACCCTTGCTGCTTCATATGATATTTTCTCATGGACATTTTTTTTACATTTTTGAATGAGATTTTATTTAATTTTTGCGAGATTTAAATTTTTTTTAACCTAATATTCCGCTTAATTTCTTCATTTAAATTGCTAACAAAATTATTTCATCTCAACCTACATCAGTGAAATTCGTTTTAATTAAGAATATGACGCGTCGAACTAATTTTCAATCAAATAGAAATATGTTCAAAAATCAATTCTATGTATATTTTCAGGTGCTTTTTTGCTGCCGTACAGTATAATGTTGGTTGTCGGTGGGATTCCGTTGTTTTATATGGAATTGGCATTAGGTCAACACAATCGGAAAGGTGCTATTACATGTTGGGGTCGTTTAGTGCCACTTTTCAAAGGTAACATGTCTGTCAGACACACACAAACACGCGCCCGCGTGCAAATCAAAAATAAAAAAATCATGAATTTGGCACTCAATCATCTGTCATTCTGAATTGCAATCGGAGATTTGATGTTAAATTGTGTAGCAGATTCAAAGTCATGTTTGAACTTGTTAATTTTTGCTTTTCGATTGGAAAACATGGATTTTCTATAGACAGTTTTTTGTGTAAAAAATAGAATATTTTGTTGTTGTTAAAAATATGCATAGCAAAAAGTGAAATCAACAGCATGTAAAATGAAAAAATGAATGTGTTGATGAATTGTGTGCGTCCGCGCCAAAGTGAAAAAGCACTCAACATGGCACAAATGTCAGTGGCAATAACAATTATTGATAATAAATAAAAAAAAATTACAGAGACGCGATTAGCCTGTGATATGAGCAGTAAAGCCGTAGGCAAACTTGTCCCATCATATTTTTTCTCCTTATGCGTCTTTTTTCGTCTCGTACATTTGTCGTGACATCGCTCGTGTATGATGAAGAGAAGCATCAGCTTGCTAAGTACAAGTGAAATCAAGGCAAATCCTATTATCGGCAAGAGCTTAAAACCATCTGAACGGATTGTTTCTTCAGTTGAGCGCGTTATTCTTTCAACGCAATTTATATCCCCATTTTCATTTTCATTCCCGCATTTCAATTGTTCCATTTCATTGACGGTTGTACGAGAGTGTGTGCTCACTGGTGGCATCGCAAATCAATGCTCCGCTTGATGTACATGCGACACAACTTTCAGTGTTAAGTAAAAGAAAGGGAAAAAAATTAGAGGAAACAAGTGAAAGTGACAACAAAGTATGATTTGATTGACTTAATAGACCTTTTAGAGAATTTCCTTTGCATTTTATTATTCCAATTGACTTTGGCCCTTTCACATTCGACACATTATGCATACGCATACACATTATACATACGCATACACATAAAGACATGTTGTTTTGACTTTTTGAATGCGATTTTGTGCTCAACACACTTTGTTTGCTGTTTTTGATGCGCACAAAAAATTACTCACTCACACACGCACATATGGGCCGTGAATTATAACGGTTTTTATTTTTCAATCTTCTGGTGTATAGGAATCGGTTATGCTGTTGTATTAATCGCGTTCTATGTCGATTTCTATTACAATGTAATAATTGCGTGGTCATTGCGATTTTTCTTCGCATCTTTCACTAGTGACTTGCCGTGGACTTCATGTGGTAATATTTGGAATACGGCAAACTGTAAACCGGTAAGTTTGTTGATGTTTTCATTTTTGGTGAGAATTTAATGAAAAAATCATCATATTTTCTTCCTATTTCCACAGTTTGAAATTGTAAACACCACCGCTGTCAATGGCACATTCAGTAATACATCACTATCGCAAAATACAACGGAATATGTGAAATATTCATCGGCCGCATCCGAATATTTTAAGTGAGTAAATGTTTTCTATCATGTTCAATTCAATCAACTAGAGAAATGAAAGAGAAAAATTGATGAATGTATTTGTTTCATATTTTCCAGTCGATATATTCTCGAGCTGAACAAAAGCCAAGGGATCCATGATTTGGGTGAAATTAAATGGGATATGGCACTGTGTTTGTTGACCGTCTATTTGATTTGTTACTTTTCATTGTGGAAGGGAATCAGTACATCGGGCAAAGTTCGTCTCATATTTTTCGTTGCGCTCTTTATGTCATCATCACACATTCATTTTGTCTTTCTTCTTTTGGACGGTTTGCAGGTTGTATGGTTTACAGCGTTATTCCCATATGTGGTTTTATTCATTTTGCTGATCCGTGGCATTACATTGCCGGGCGCAATGGAAGGCATCAAATATTATCTGAAACCAAATTTCGATGTCATTCGAAATGCTGAAGTTTGGGTGGATGCTGCAACGCAAGTGTTCTTCTCATTAGGTCCCGGTTTTGGTGTTCTCTTAGCTTATGCTTCATACAATAAATATCATAATAATGTCTATAAGTAAGTCAAATTATGCGTTTCGAATGTTTTTGAATAAACACCCAATAAATGCCTCTGTTTGTCCTTCAGAGATGCTTTACTCACAAGCTTCATCAACTCAGCGACAAGCTTCTGCGCTGGCTTTGTGATTTTCTCGGTGTTGGGATACATGGCGCATTCATCCGGACAAAGTATTCAAGCCGTCGCTACTGAAGGACCTGGTTTAGTGTTTATTGTTTATCCAGCGGCAATCGCGACAATGCCTGGCAGCACATTTTGGGCGCTCATATTTTTTATGATGCTCTTAACGCTGGGACTGGATAGTTCGGTATGGTTTAATTCTTTTCCATTTCGTATTCAACACTTATTCATTGCAAATTCGTGCCTTGGCAAAATATAATTGATTCCTGTTTGGTGTTTTAGTTTGGCGGTTCGGAGGCGATAATAACTGCATTGAGTGATGAATTTCCAAAGATTGGACGGAATCGTGAGATCTTCGTGGCCGGTCTGTTTTCGTTGTATTTTATCGTTGGTTTAGCCAGTTGCACGCAGGGCGGATTTTATTACTTTCAATTATTGGATCGTTATGCGGCCGGATACTCAATTCTCATAGCCGTGCTATTCGAATCGATAGCCGTTTCGTGGATCTATGGAACGAATCGATTCTGTGACGATATACGTGATATGGTTGGTTTCTATCCAGGTATTTACTGGCGAATTTGCTGGAAATTTGTGGCCCCATTTTTCTTGCTCTTCATCATTGTGTACGGTCTATTTGGTCATCAACCGTTGCAATACGACAATTATTATTATCCGGAATGGGCAAATATGTTGGGCTGGTGCATAGCTGGTTCATCGGTCATGATGATTCCATTGGTGGCCATCATCAAAATTCTCACAACGCGCGGAACATTTCGCCAGGTGAGCCTCCCAACTTTTTTTTTACGTTTGTTCTTCAACTTTCGCAAAAGTTTAAGTTTTTCTTTATGATAATAAATAATTCAAACGTGAAAACTTTATCCAAAGAAAAACTACAGCTGTGTTTTGCGAATAAAAATGGGATTAGTTGAAATCGCTCGTTTACATGTGAATCATTTTTGTGTTTCTGGTAAGAGATAGAAGACGGATGTCTTCTGCAATGTTTTAGAACATTCTAAGATCTTCATCTTTGCCCGAGACACTTGCTTCGTATCTCTCACCAGAAACACAAAAATGATTCACATGTTAACGAGCGGTTTCGGCTAATCCCATTTTTATTTCTCACCAACACAATTGAAAATGACTAATGAAAATTCTAAACTTGTGAAACCTTTTATTTATTTTAGCGTATTCGCAAATTGACGACACCGTGGCGCGATCGTCGACCCAGCGTTAACGGCGTTGTGACTGAACCAGCTCAGATTCGTTTAACATCGGCCAAAGCCGGCGAAGATGTGTGAGAACCAAATAAATGTGAACGACCTTATGCACGATTCACCGTTTACTATGTTTAAGCTGTACAGAAGCACCCCCTGTTTACATTGCTTTAGCATTAAGAGCATAATTCATTTATCTAAATGCAATATTTAGCACGAACACAAGAACAACAACAACTTAAAATCAACAAATTAATCCAAGCCACAAGTAATCAAATAATTATTCGAATTACCAATTAAAATGCATCCCACACAACCAAATAGAATGCAATTGTTTGAATACTGTACGTTGAATGTAATTTGAATAAATATTAAAATATAAATAAGTCATAAATTAACGATAATACACAAATAAACTCAAGAATATCGATATAGCGACAGGTTCAAGTAAAATTCATTTAATCGATAAGTTTATGCATATTTTACAATTAGTTGATACTGAAAAGAGAAAATTGATGTGGAAAATTAAGTACAGTGAACAAAAGAAAAAAAAATACTACCAAAACGAAATGCTGTGTAGATAATAGATAAAAAAAACTAATTCTCAAATGTTGAGACAGAGAGAAAAGGGAGAGTTAATTGAATTGATCAGACACAAAGCAAAACTGATATGTCACAAAGTGATCATCTAATCTAGACATTAAGCCAAGAAAAAATCATATTTATTTTATTCTAGTCACACATTTTAACTGCTGAGAGAGGTCCATTTTTCTTTGATTAAAAAAAAAAATCACTTGAATGCCAAGTGACAACATGTTCGCACCAACATTCCCCTGTTGAAATACCATCAATCAAAACGATTGTAAGTGTTTTCAGTTGATTCAATTTCTGTACATATTCATGTGAGGTACGAAAAAGAATACAATAAGTTTCATCGGACTAAGTATCAATATTAATGCAGTTGCCCGTGTAGCTCAAACGCGATGTAGATATGCAGGCCTATGTGAGAATAAATGAAAACAGAGAACGACACAAGCGTAAACCTTGAGTTGTGTGCTCGTAATTACCACTCATGTTCTTAAAAGCTGTTCTATCGTATATCTCCACATGGGTCCGCACATCTCAACGACACTTCGAATTGAACTGCTCGGGTAGCAACAGATAATTATATATAGAGATAGAGCCTGTGTTTTAATAAAATAGAGGGAGAGAGGACACAATTCTTTCATTCATGTTTCTTTATTTATCCAAATTTCGTGTTCATAGATAGAGTAGTGATTGTTGTGGAACAAAACCGATTTAAGCACAACGACAATAAATGAAAATCCGACAACAACAAACGAATGTCAAACATGTTAACAACCCCACTGAAATGGTTCAAATCCATATCAAGCTAAATAAAATACAGGAGAAATGGAAAAACCAACTGAATATGCAACAAAAGTGATAGTTTTTTTCAGCCATAAAACTATTACATTGCTGCATTGAATTCCAATAGTTTAAACTGAAACGCAATTAGTTGAATAATTTTTCATTTGGAGTGAAGTTAATCACAGACAAAAATCTCCTACCTAAGCTTTAAGATTTCAACGTTGCAATTAAATGGCGACAAAATTTTAGGCAAAATGTAAAACATCATAGAATATTGGTTCAACAAAATAACTTGTTTGTGCAGAATATTTACATAGCGGCAATTATATATGTACAATTCGGCAGCAAAATTTCGGTTCATTTTAGCAACACACACATTTATATAGCAAGTCGCATTCCGTATCTTTGTTTGACAAATACAAAAAAAAAAAACATCAGGGATTTTCAACTGTTATTAAAATTTCAGCTTATCCAACGTAAAGTGAGGATAATATTTTGTAATTCATTCAAGAAATAGCAGGCCGTTAGACACATCAGCGGAGTTCATTTATGTTAAAACATCAACAATTGTGAGTCCCCCTCAATTCAGCCATATTGAAGGGGAACACAGAGAATCAATGCATTGATGTTCTTGTTGAAATTGATAATACTTGATGTAGCTATGTCCAATGTTTTAGTTGCTAGCTTTTTAACAACATTGAATAAAATATATGTTTAAAATGATGTTTGTTTTCATTATCTTACTAGCGGCCAATTGTCCAGTTGTTCTTTGAGAAAAGTCCATCGATGGAAATGGTTTTATTTGTACACTTGCAAAACCGTGATCAACGAATATAACAGATCGAATGTGTTATCAAAGATATAAGATGAAAAATTTCAAGCGTAACGCGATTGTTTTGGGTTCGCTAGGAAAACAACGACCTCCTTTTTGTTTGTCTGTAATACAGCTATAGAAAGTTGAATTTTGCATCATCATTGCAAAAAATGCCACACAACAGCACTGCACTCGTCTCAATATGTAAATAAAAAATCGAAAGAAACCCTACTCCTTACATACATTTATTTTATTTTTCTCTATTAATTTAGCAATAATCCAAATATCAACGTGTCGAATTGGTTTGATCGCGAAAAAATGAATTGAATAAATTTCAAATTCTGCAACCATTTATGACTGTTGTTTGCAATGTTTGAAAATTCTTCAAAATGTGATTCTTATTGTGTGCAATGGGTAACAGCATTCTGTCAATAGTATGGAAATACGACAACAATTTGTCTGCATCCAACATAGTTAGTTTTGCGATTATAGTGGCGCTGCTATGCTCAAGTGTGTTACTGTATTCGAAGAAGATCCACACAAAAAGGAATGACTAATATTCGTTATGATTTTTTTCCATTGAATTTTTTTGAATGTATTTTACATTACAAAAACGACTACTGCGGCGCTGCAAACGTTTTGACAGGTATAAAAGACAATAGTTTGCAGGCATTGATTGTGTGCCCTTGGAAGAATGTCGAAAAAATACATTTTCAAACCATTTAGAAAAAAAAAAGAATATTCCAAAATGTTACTACTATACACGCAGAAAAATTCGTAATAGTTCGACTTCATACGAAATGCCATATACAGTTGGGGTGTACGATTTCAAGGCTTGATAGTGAATTAGACATCAATGAATTTGGAATTTTTAATGATGATGCCTTTTTTTATTTCTTTCGATTTGTCCGTAGCTTTTTATTATTTATATTTTATACGAACGCCGATAAAGAATTTATTCTCTGACTCAGTGTAGACCTAAAGAAAAAAAATTTCATCTTTTAGAAGAAAAAAATTCATACATTATTAGAATTTAATCAAAATAAAAAGAATTACATTGGTAATCCCGAACTTTTCCGTACCGTTGGCCTGCGTTGTCCGTAGGTACTTTTGGTTATTTTTCGTGAATTTTCTTGAAATAAGGGCAGTGAAAATACAATAATAAAAATAAAGTGAAAAATCGGTCACTTTAACTAAAACTTCGGCAATTTTGTATGAGAAGTACCCGTAAACCATACCTGATTAGCTTTAAACTTTCTGAGGTTTCATTTTTTGGAGAAAAAATAAGATTCTGAAAGTTTCATGTTGATCGCATTTGCAGAAGTTTGGTTTTTGGCCCTTAATTTTTTCCAAGAAAATTTCGACAAAAATTGAGGACAAAAAATCAAACTTCCACAAATGCGATCAACATAAAACTTCCAGAATCTTATTTTTTCTCCAAAAAATAAAACTTCAGAAAGTTTGAAGCCAATCAGAATCGATTAACGGGTACCTCCCATACAAAATTGTCCAAAAATCGGTAATTTTAGTCAAAATTTCAAAAAATTTATATGGGGGGTACCCGTAAATCGATTCCGATTGGTTTCAAACTTTCAGAATCTTATTTTTTCTCCCAAAAAATGCAATCCCAGAAAGTTTGAAGCCAATCGGAGTCGATTTACAGGTACCTCCCATACAAAAGTGTCAATTTTTTGAGATTTTTCTTAGGACAAGTACCCCAGGGTCAAATCGAAAATGGCTCATCTTCGAACTTAAACTAAGTTTTTCGGATACAAAACTTTTGGCATTTCCAGATTTTGATTATCTCAATTATTTTTTGAGTTATCTTGTTAACAAACACCAACGACGACAACGACAACGACAACGACGGCACACGAACGGAAAAGTGTCTCAATAAGTGGTTTTCTACGCGTTACATGAGTTTTTATGATGATCTAAGCTAATTTTGCGAAAAAAGTTTTCGGGACCAATTCCTATACTTTCCCTTGACACGTTGTATACGGAAAAGTAATTATTATTTACTTCTTTTCTGATAGAAGAAACCGAAAAAAATCAACGAGAAATCAGAAATCGTTGAAAATTTAGATGCATATGAAAATGTGTGTATTTACAAAACTAAACGTTCTAATGTGAGCATCCAAGGAATGCAAATTGAAACATATTTACACACATTTTTAAAGCCATTAAAAACAGAAGACTTATATTACAGGGCAGAAAAAAATATTTGCGCAAATAAAAAATATTTATTAAAATATTTCAGCTACTTTTTTCAATGAATAAATATTTTCAAGTTTTTCGGTTTTTCATAAATATTTCATCAATTTCAACGTTTCAAAATCATTTTTATAGTCAAGTTTGCACAAAAAAATCTCTTAAATTTCAATATCATATGATATCAACAGAATGAACGAAGATGTTTATTTTCGATTTTGAGTTTATGTTTACAAGAAGAATTTTTGGGAATCATGAGTTGCACTCGCTCCCAATGTAAACAACTATCAAATTAATACTGCTAGCGATACAACCAACAAATTCATAACTCGACATGTTTTATTCTGATTGAAAGACATTATGAAATACGTTCAATAAAATTTGACAATTTGCAATCGGAGCTCATTTTGAGGCAACTATTCAATCGAGTTGGAGATGGGGTACATGGATTGCAGCTGCTGTGTACTACGCCGACAATTACAATCAAATTATGGAATTTTCGGCAGAGCTAGATGAAGAGGACGCAAATTCGATAGTAAAAGCTAAGGAAACGATCGACATGCCAAATTTGAAGGAAGACTTAGCATTCATAAAAAGCAATTTTTCCTGCATCATCACATCCATCAACAAACTACAAGCACAAGGTGTTCCACTTGTTGAAGCGCTTGAATCATTTGAATCTGTACGTGCAAATTTGACAAATATGCGAGGAAGACCAGAATTTACTGCCAAGTTTAATCGAGTTGTCGCTCGCAACAAAGGATTTTCTACGTTGAAAGAAATTGCTACAATTTTAAGCACAGGAAAAGCAACACAACAAAACAAGTACATCGATGGACTAACACCTGATGAATTGAATGCCTTTAAATTTGCTCCAATTACATCGTGAAACGAATGACGTTTGACAGCTACGCTGACAGTTGTGTTTTTTTTCGTCTCTCGTATTTGTTTACATTATTTTATTGTTTTTAAATAGTTATTCACATTGTTTTGTCACAAATTTTATATGATTCTATTCGTGACGACTTGCTGTATCCCAATAATATAAAGTTCACCGTGTCAACATCAATTTCGTCGATTTTTCTCTGTGATAATTTGTGCACATTTTTGGTTACGTCGCTCTCGTTATTCACGTCGTTTTCCTGTGTTATTGTTGTTGGTTTTCATAACCATAAAATGGCCCAATGTGCGTTGTGTGTGAAACCGGTAGCCAGTGACAACAGCATTTCATGCTATGGCTTATGTGGCAATTCATTTCATTTCGCCTGTCTGAATAAAGACGATGCCACCACCACGTACAATAAAACATTGATGAACTATTTGGCGAAGATTACTGGTTTACAGTGGTATTGTGTCAGTTGCCAGCCACACACATTGGGTGGCATAATAAACAATTGCACCGAGTGTTCAAGTTTTATTGCGGACCTTAAACGCTCGCTAGTGCCTCTCATTGACAAAGTGTTGAGCGCTGACCTACCGCAAAAAAGTGCAAGCAACCAAAATGAGCATAATACCAGTGCTGCCGAAGTGATTGAAATCGACGCAAATCGGTTGTTGCATTTGGTTGGCAATGCCAATGATACCGTACACACTGAGAATGTTGTGATCGACGGAAATTCAGCGGAACCGATGGACGAGGATGAAATTAATGATGACGTTGACACTACAATCGTCCCATCTCTCGAATCGGGTCATGCTACATCGAGTGTTTATGTGGACACTCCACGCCCAAATCAAAAGCACGGTAAGCGGAGAATTGATCGCCTACTCAATGAAACGGTAAAACGTTCGTGCCTCTCATCATCCGACGAACCAGGTATGTCGCGCGTTGTTAACGCTGCTGACCAAATCGTCTCGACACCATCAGTTCGGCAGAATGCAATGAATTTGCGCAATTTGGTTCAGGCTCCGGCTCGCAAACCGATTATGAAAAATGCCTCACGCACTCAAGCCAGCAATTTGTACGCCAAAGCGGTACCGTTACCACAGGTCAGCAATTTACATAAGAAAATTGTTCCGTCAGTTCTACTGTCATCTAAACTGACGAAGAGCGTTCACATCTCACGCTTCTCTAACGACACCACCTGTGATGATATTTTAAACCAATTGCGATCCATTGACTCCACATCTAACATTGTCAATGAGATTCAATGCAAAAGATTGACACGTGGTGACCGGCCCATTTCAAGCTACAAATTCATCTCGTTCAAACTGACTTTTCCACGTCAATACTTTGAACGTGTTATTAACCCCTCGATATGGCCGAGTTCAGTTAAGGCCTGTGAATTCATTGACAGAAAAAATCCTCCGTCGTCCTTCACTGAACCTCGCGTTAATGCAAATCGGCAGTCAAAAAACTGGGAGCATCAGCATGGCAACGAGAACAGAGCCAGAATACATTCGCAGCAAATGTACGCCTATACACAGGCACCGACGACACCCAATGTGAGCAACCTTCGGTTCAATCCGTTTGCTCAGCGCCCACGTCAATACCACGCAGCAAACTCCGGGCAACAGCAAAACCGTTTCGTCCATCGCGTGGGCAACAGACGATTCCGTTAAATCCCAAGCTGCGCACACCCGACGCGACACGCATCAGTGTCTATTATCAAAACATTCGCAGCTTGGGTAACAAACAGGATGAATTTTTTCACAAATGTGCTGCTCTCGGTTTTGACATAGTCATCTTGACTGA